TTCTCTCCACTCTTTGGTAGAAATTATTTGGAATAAGAAGTAAATCGAATTTACATTGTGGATACCGACAAAGCATCCGAAAAGAATTAAAACTGAATGAATAAAGCAGAAAATAATACGTCAATGGGATCTTTGAACTCATGGCTGAAAAATATTATTTCTTATTTTTCTAACGTTAAAAATAGCGAAAGAGAGATTGCTTTGCTTAGATAATGGATCGATTCCTTGTAAATTTCTTTTCGATATAACGCAATTGATACTGTGTAAAAATAACTATTGCCACGCAAGAGTTAATGTACTGTTTTTTAAGTCGACTTTTTCAGCAATTTTTTAACCCACTTGCATCATTTAGATTGCACGCGTTTGCGTGTATTATAATTTATCAAATCTCTATCAATGAACAGTATACATGATATTGTACGAGAGCTGATATTCTAATTAGTGTAAATTACTTTTGATTAAGAAGAAATTCTGTTATAAAAACCTCTCCTTTTTTTTTTTTTTTTTTTGACAAAACCTTCAGTCAACAAAACAGTTTAATTCTATGCTCACTGTAGCATAATCAGGATACCTAAAACAACTAAAACTATTGAAAATGTAATTAGAAATAGCGTTACTAATGCTACGAATCAGCCAAATTGTCCCATCGATTGATAGTTATAATAACAAAAAGATACTTTGCATGACACGAGCAGTTTTTAATAAGAAGTTAGTTGCACCAATTCTAAATCCGAGTTTATTAGAATTAAAGAGTTATTTATTAGTTAAAGTTTTCATAAACATAAGATTCTTGATCACGAATTAATCGTATTCTACATGTCTCGAATATTTATATTTTAATATCGGCGCAATTTTTACAATAGTTACAGGAGTATCGCGTTGTACAAGGTCCTAGTGGATTACTCTTAGTCGAAATGAAAATTAATTCGAATAATATTAATATTATCATCATATTGTCAATATTATCAACCTCTTCAGGGAATTTTTAATTTCCCTGTTGTAACAAAGAAAATTTCGTTTAATTTCATTTTATGTTCGGTAAATGATGAAATTAAGTTGACGTTTCGGAATTTCAAAAAAAAAAAAAAAATTTTGTAACGCCGACATGTTTCGCGTTGAATGGAAGTAGCTTTTTTTTTATAGGAAATTAACGTAAATTAACTGTCCACACAAGTGCGTGGAGAGGTTAATATATTGATATTAATTATTATTAAATAATGTTAATTACTGTATTATTAATATAATAACGACGCTTCTTTCTCGCGGTGCGTGGAGCCGCGAGTCCTCATCCTCCGCGTCGTCCACCCCCGGCTTTTGTCTTATTATTTGGTCGGCGCGGCGGCCAGGTATATCTCTCGTTCTACACGGCACTCCTCTCTCGCTGCGATCCACGCATATAAACATCGCGGCTTTATCTGAGCGTTTTATAGCGGCGGAGGTCTCGGCAATCCTATGGGGGACCAGCCGCGAAGAACCTGCCTACGCTTTTCTTTCTCTCATTCGTTTTCTCTCATCCTCGGTGCTCTGCTTCTTCTCTCTCTCTCTCTCTCTCTCTCTCTCTGTGCTCTCTCCCACCCACACCCTCCCCCAACGTTTGAAAACGTATTTCCTGGATCGAGGTTTGCCGGTTCTTCCGTTCGTTTCTTTCACTCGGCGCTGCGAGCAAGCGATTGTCACAGCGTTAATGCGCATTCCCGATTGGCCGGTGGAAATGGATGGGCAAATTATCGTATTCTGCCCGACGTTTTCTTGCAGTCGAGAGAGAGAGTCTAGAGCGTATAGACCAGCGGGGACTTTAGTTGATTCAACAAAGTTTAATAACCGAGCCATAAACATAATTAACGTAAAAACTCTGGACTAACTTTTCTTTTCTGTTTGTACAAGCCCGGTGAGATTTCCAACTCCCAGATGGGAAAGGTATGGAATTAATGATTACTGATTGTGAGATAAATTACTGATTGCCAATGGAACGAACGAAAGCAGTGATAGAAAGATAAGTAAACGTTGATAAGCAAGCGTGTAATTGTCAAGTCACGAGCTGTTTGAAAAGGATTAACCATCGTTGCTTGAATTTTAATGGTTCATAGGAAACATGTTGTTAAACAGGTTGTCAGTTGATAGTCGCTACTGATATGCTTGTTAATAACTGTTTCATTGACTGACAATAGAATTTCATTCGTAGACGCTCATGCGTTCCATTCCTATACGGAAAGAAAAAAAAGGAAGGAAGGAAGAAAATATTAGTTTGCTATCAGTACGCTTTATAGCTAAAATTTCAGCAAAAAGCACAGATGCTTCATTAACAAATTATAATATGACCAGGTCACTGAACCTCGCATCTTCTGAATTTTATTCATGGAAAATTGTACATTATCGTCGAATGGAAAAATTTACAGTACAAATGTTCACACTGGAAATAATAAACTGGCTATAAGAGATCGAAACTGTAAAAAAATTCGGTTCGCAATAAATTCAATTTAAGATAAAAGCGCATGACACTTTTGAAATGCACGTGTAAGTACGTACAATCGTATTTTTATCATAATGAAGCATTTATATATAAAAACATTTTGACAAAGTATCTTTACTACGTGACGTTTACTTGTAAAACACATTGGCAAACAGTTTGACTAAACTTCGCAACGATATGAACCAATTTGAACCAGAAAATCCTTTTAAGAGGAAAGAGCGACTCGAATCTGGAAGAATGAAGATGAATCAATGTCTTAAAAAATTATCCAACGGCGTTATTACTTTCAAAGCTTCTGTAAATCAAATTTGCTGTTTGTTCTGCTGTCTCTACATTTCGCGTGTTCTTTTCGCAAAGGAGAATGAGACTTCGTTTCGAGAGAACCGAGTGACCGCGTGTTACATTGTCTCGGTTTCTCTCTGGTCGTCTTTGAGGATCGATACCGCCAATCAAGGAACCCGTTTCCACGGATCTTCAGATCCGCTGTTTTCACGGGGGTCCAAGATCGTTCGTCGTGGATCGTGAGAGAGAGAGAGAGAGAGAGAGAGAGAGAGAGAGAGAGAGAGAGCGTAGATTCTGTTGCAGGGTTTGTGTAAGAACGTCGCGACAAAAACGAGGAAAGCAACTTGCCTCATTAGCATACCGTGTGTTGGATCTCTCCCTCTGCTCTTCCTTTTTCTCTTTCATTTCTTCCTTTTCTTTTTTCTTCTCTCTCGTTCAACGTTGAAGGAAAGTTGAAAGTCGTCCTCCCTCCGTGATTCTCGCCACTCTGATCATTTCGGCGACTTCCTTCTCGGCGAATGCACTGAATTTTCCTTTGAGCTTTGCTCAGTGAGAGGCCAGACTCGAGAAAGAAGACAGAGCTTTTTGAGAAAATATTTTAAGCTACTTTACTGTGCTCCAAAAAGAAAAAGGATGAAATTCAAATAGAACGTAGAATGAATTTTCCATGTCAATTACGATGATGCATGTGTCTCTGTTCGATACGAGAGTTTGAGCGTGGCTTTAAGTCTTGGACAGTTCGAACGACTCCAGTTTCGTATTTCCCGCTCGACGCGAGAATCGAGACTTACGTACACTGAATTTCAAAAATCAGAATAACTTTGTATTCCGCGTCACTGTCGTTCCATAATTTCACGCAATCCAGTCACAACACGACCAGTCAGAGAATATGAATGCCAAATTATTTTGAATGTGGCGTAAGTCCATTTATGTTCGAATCGAGATATCGAAGGGTTTGCGTTGG